TTAAATAATTTGAAAATGGATTAAAAAATAAATGTGTAAAATAAACATACTTATACTTTAGATTACAAAGTATTTCTCATAAATAAATATTTTAATAAAAAAATAATTAAAAAGGAAGTAAACACTGTAACCAACAGGGCACTCAGTATTCTGGGAAGTTTGTGTGCATTGGGAGTCATATTTTTTCAAATAAAGCCAAGGTAAGGTCCTTTGTTTAAGCGTTCTATCTGATTATTAGACAGACTTCTATCTGTTTTAGAAAGAGCTGTTAATGACGACAGCGAACGAGAGGGAGAATGTGAACACAGTGTGCGCAGGCGCTGCCGCTCTCAGCGCCGTCAAAATAAAAGTCCAGCCTCGAACGCATCGGCCAAACAGGAAAAACGTATCACCCGATGCCGATATTTGAAAAATGCCAAATATCGGCCGATATATCGGTCGACCACTAATAAAAACATTAATTATGAAAAACTGTACTAGTGCCAATGATACTAAAAACACCAGTGATCTGAGTTCAGCTGAAAGAGCCACACATCAGTGCATGTGTGTGATGCAGGTGATCAGGTTTGTTTAGTTAGTGATGATAAAATCACAGCAGAACACGGGTGAGCTGAGATACTGAGCTACACAGGTGCCTCTAATAACTCATCTCACCTCGTCACAACCAGCATCAGCGAGATACACGGAGAGCACACATACCAACAATAAATAATGCTGCCAATATAATACTGATCAAATAAAATGATAAGAAATAATAACATATGAAGAGTTCATTTGCAAAAACCGATAAATGCCACTTTAAAAACTAAATGAGCTGATTGGCGTGCATTATTCTCCACATATAGTGTACCCTAAACACGTTTTGTCAAAAAAGCCGGTTTTGTCCACTTTCAAGGCATCGTGAGTTCACGTTTTACTGCAGAAGCCGACAAGCGCCCTTGTTGTTTGTGAACAGAAGCCGATAAGTCCATTTCAGCGAATCAGCACGCTGTATTCAGGTGGCAAGGCTACTTTCACTTTGAAAAGACGTGCTAGCTGAGAGGAGTTTCGTCAAAGCTGACTAAAAGTGATCAAGGATCATTTCGACGAACTTGATGAACCTGTGATATCTTCTTCAGGGCGAAAAAGGAAACGTTTTCACGGAAGCTTGCGAAAGCAGCGCGTTACAGCGGTGAGCGAAAAGCTCTGTGTACTGCGTGTAATCACATCCATACAGTTTATGATCACAACAACAACAACGTTTGTCAGGCGTCTACATTATCATCTGAGGAGATTACAAAGATTAAACCAGTGTGTTTTTACTTTCACTTTGAAAAGACGTGCTAGCTGAGAGGAGTTTCGTCAAAGCTGACTAAAAGTGATCGAGGATCATTTCGACGAACTTGATGAACCTGTGATATCTTCTTCAGGGCGAAAAAGGAAAATAAAAGCTTAAACGTTTTCACGGAAGCTTGCGAAAGCAGCGCGTTACAACGGTGAGCGAAAAGCTCTGTGTACTGCGTGTAATCACATCCATACAGTTTATGATCACAACAACAACAACGTTTGTCAGGCGTCTACATTATCATCTGAGGAGATTACAAAGATTAAACCAGTGTGTTTTAAAAACTCTAAAACATGAAATGTGGAGTTATCGGCTTTTGCCAAAAAACGACTGTTGGAGTTATCTGCTTTTGCTATAAAACAAACTTTTAATATGTAAAAAAAAAAAAGATACTTTCAATGAACTTCAATTTAGTAAATTACCTGTATTTGTTTAAGTTATTGTTCACACACACTCTGCTCCGGTCCAGAGACACGATAGCACGGAGCGGATCACATGCGCGAGTCGCCACAGACCACAAAATGCTATATTTTAAAGCAATATGGATGAGATTGTGGCTGGCATACCCTGCGGCTTTACGGAGCTCAACGGCGCTGAACGACTCTAGCCCAAGCTGTGATATAAACGAACGCTATTGGCTATTTTAAAAAGGGGCGGGGCTGCTTGATATGTCCCGCCCTGTCTTCCTGTTTCAGTTACAATGACGTCAACACACAGAGAGTAACGCTGCGTGTTTCTAAGCATTTCAGGCGACCTTTAATCAAAACAACTCAACTGCAGTTTGACTGATATTGGAATGCGCAATAAAAAAAACGTGATTTCGGAAAAAAAATCAAATGAAAATATGATGGCTTTTGCAAATGAAAATACTCTTCATATAATCACACATATGTTACTAAATCTATGTAAATAATACAGAATATTGATCACAGCTGTTATTAGAGGCAGCTGGTGTGCTGTTTAGCGTCTGACAGCATGAAGACTTACATCACCGGGAGACATTCACGCATCACACGAGCTCTGGAGCAAAACATGGAGAAAATCCCGCAATACTGCATTCAGTCTGTGTGTTTCTACACGACTCGGTGTTCACGGCTGCGCTCGAAACCCTCCTCAGCTGCACTACTGTCCACAGAGGCAGCTGCCTTCGAAGCCAACAACTGCTAAGGAACTTCATACTTCATTTTGTTTTGTCCTAAATTTGTGTTTTCTGTTTTCATTTTTCCAGATTCTAAACTAAACCGTAATCAAAGTCAAATCAGGAAACCTTGTCTAAACAACTGAATTCATGAAAAGTTAAATATTTATTAATTTATTGCAATTTTAACAATGAAAGAGCCCTAAGAAATCTGTTTTATTTTCCCCCCGAAATTCTGTTTTCCATTATTTTTTTTCCAGATTCCATTTGAATTTATTAATTAAATTGTAACAACTGAATTCATAACCATTTATTAATTTATTAAAATATATGTTTTCCACTGACATTTTTCTGGATTCCATTTTAATTTATTTAAATTAAATTAAAAACCATGTCTAAACAAATGAATCCATAAAACCTCAACAGTTTATTACAACTTTTTCAATAAAACGGCCCTGTGAAATATGTTTTATTTTTTCCCTAAACGATGTATATTCCATTGTAATTTTTCTGGATTCCATTTTAATTGATTAATTAAATTCTAATCAAAGTCAAATCAGGAAACCTCGTCTAAACAACTGAACTGAATTCCTAAAACGTTAAATATTTATTAATTTTTTACAATTTTAACAATAAAACAGCCGTGTGAAATATGTTTTTTTTTTTTTTACTAAATTATGTATATTCCATTTGAATTTTTACTGGATTCCATTTTAATTGATTAATAAAATTTTAATCAAATTAAATATATTTTTAAAAAATCTAAAAATTGAGTTCATCCAGCTATTAAAATTGATTACATTTCCAAATTCTGTGTTGTATTTTTAAATTGTTCTGCATTTTATAATTTATGATTTAAAACGAATTTATCATCTGTAATGGCGGTAATTAAATTAATTTATTCACTAATTTACTTTTGATTCATTTCTCCAAAATATTCCAAATCCCTTGATATCCTGCGCTATAAATACCATTTTTGTGGCTGGATTCCACTATTCCGTAAATAAGTCCATTTTAATTAGACTGAACTGTTTTTAATTGATAACAAATGTGAAATCTGCAGTTGTCTGTTTGGATGAGTGTGGTCTAGTGAGTCGTCTCACCTCTCGTTGAGCTCCTGTCCGTTAAACGGCTGGAAGTTTGCGCGGTGTGGGGAGGCGGGGCTGAGCGGGGAGGCGTGGCCTGATCTGCCCAATGAATGCCTGCGGCTGCGGCGTCTCTGCAAGCCCCGCCCCTCGGCCCGTCTGTCCCGGCGAGCGTCTTCAGCGCCGTCCTCGTGCCCCAGAGTGGCCTGCAGGGACAGAGGCGCATCAGAACCAGAGATCGATCAGACATCAGTCATCTGTCAGAGACTGTCAGACCTCGTAGACGCTGAGCTGCTCCAGCAGATCCAGATCCGTTCCCTTACGGCCCAGATAACGGCCACACACGCTCTCCATGGCCTGCTCCTCCAGAACATCCACCATATCATAGAACGAGTCCTGATCGGGCAGCGCCGCCAGCGTCTGAGGGAGAGAGATTACACAGCTGCAGAATATCTGAGTACAGTGAAAGACTGTACATTAAGAAGACAAATGACGGGGTACAGACTGAGCAATCATACTCTGACTCTAGAGACGGGCAGATATCGACAGCACTGGCTGCCCAGAGACAGCCCATACTGTACCCACAGAGCAACACTTTCTCACCAGCTGCCCCAACTATCAACACATTAGAAAGACATTTTATCCTAAATTTGAAACACTTTGTGTACAGGTATATAGAGAGAGAGAGAGAGAGAGGGTGTGTGTGTGTGTGTGTGTGTGTGTGTGCGAGAGAGAGAGAGAGAGAGAGGGTGTGTGAGTGTGTGTCTCACCTTGTTAATAAGCGTCATCACATAGACCAGCAGCTCTGTGTCCACACCGTCCTTCTCTGCTAAAATCTCCATGGCGTTTGACCACTGCTTACAGCCTGACGATATCACACACACACACACACACACACACTTCATAATTTAGCAAAATCATTCAAAACTCACGACTGACCAAACAAACTAATTATTTTTGTATTATTTATATTAATTATAATTTAATTAAATAATGTAATTATAATTTATAATGTATAAATTATTCATTTTTAATTATTTATTATTTAAATAATTCATGCATAACTCTTTACATAATATGCGTGAGTGTGTGTGTGCCGTGTGTGTGTGTGTGTGTGTCTGTGTGTGTGTGTGTGTGTGAGTGCGTGAGTGTGTGTGTGTGTGTGTGTGTGTGCGTGAGTGTGTGTGTGTTTGAGTGTGAGTACCTCTCTTAGAGTCCACAGTGTTGATGGCCTGGATGAGCAGCGGTGCGTTGGACTCAGAATACTCAACAAACACCAGCAGCAGCTTCAGAGACGTCTTGACCACCAGACGAAACTGAACACACACACACGGATCAGATCTCACTCTTACTCTGATCGTCACACACACTGATCAAACGGCGCGTCACCTTTGAGCCGATGAGCAGGTAGAGCCACTGGATGATCTCGGTGTGACCTATGACCCCGTTCATCCCGTCCACATACAGCATGATCTGACCCAGAGCTGCAGAGACAAACACACGCCACTGAACGCTCATTAGCATAAACCTGATGGAAGTGGGCGGAGCTTAGCAGCCTGGATGCTGCCTCTGATTGGTCAGAGCTAATAATAATATTTAGGGTTATTCTGACATTTTATTCTAATGATGAATTAGAATTTCGCTGTCATGTGACACGTTACATTGCTCAGGATGAACCAATTTTATTGAGATGGCAGAGGTCAAATATTTTGCATCCCAGCTGCAAAATACTTTTTCATTTGGATATAAATGACTATTAATAGTTTATTTCTTATTTAAAAAGAAAACATGCATGACGTTAGTATTTGACATGGCTTCCTTAATAGTTAATAATTAATACATTATAAGGAATTATTCATTCATAATCATAAAATGTAATTAATTCATTATTTTGTTTGAATTATTTATTATTTGTGTATTTGCTATTTAAAAATTAATGCATCATGGCAGTATTTGGTGTGGTTTAAAATGATTGATAATTATTAATAATAATTAAGTATTAATTTATAATCATAAACGAAGTATAATTCTGAATTATTTTGTAGTTTTAATTGTTTATTAATTGTGTATTTATTATTAAATGCATGCATCATGGTAGCATTTGGTGTGGCTTTAAAATAACTAGTAATTAAAAATGATTGATTATAAGTAATAATTAATTTATAGACATAAATTAAGCAATTATTTATTAGTTATGTATTTATTATTTAAAGAATAATGCAGCATGGTAGAATCTAGTATTACTTTAAAATTATTAATGATATATCATGAAATAATGATTCATTATTAATTTAAAATAATAAATTAAGTATCGTTAATTCATATTTTAGTTTTACTTATTCATTAATTGTGCATTTATTATTTTAAAAATAAATCATAAATTACGGTAGAATGTGGTGTTGCTTTAAAATAAAATAATTAATTTAATATTATAAATAAAGTATAATTAGTTCTTTTTCTAGCTTTAATTATTTATTAGTTGTGCATTAATTATTAGTTATATTATACATTTAAAATGTATAAATGATTGTAGTATTTGGTGTGGCTTTAAATTCCTGCTAATTCAAATGAATAATAACTATATTACAATAATGTTAACCATTGTTATTATTATTTTAAAATAATTACAAAATACAGAAATAAATCTCAGAAGAATTCAGATGAATTACAGGAATCATAATGAAATTTTTGGCATTACAGTGAATTTAGGGAGTTTTTTTTCTACTTAATGTTGAAAATGCAAAAAAAAAAACATGCATATTTCATTTCTTTGTGACTTGCTTGTGACATGATAAAACTTTTACAGAAGCACCATAATAGGGTGTTATGAAGAAACAGTTATCACAATATTAAAGACAGTAAATAGTTGATCAAAAAAGTGTGTTAAAAACAGCATGGTTTTCTATAGTAATGAAAATGGCAACCAAAAGGTGGCACTGTTCTCCCTAATATGGATATGAAAATAAAATAACAGAAAATCATCATCTATAATGCATGAGATATTATTTTCTTACAGAAGTCTGAGGATACAAATAAAGCAAACGAACCTCTGAGGATGTAGTTCTGATAGTTCTGATCCGCTTCAGCGCCGACCTTGATCAAACACGTCAGACCTTCAGCCATAACGAACTCATGAACCAGGTCCTTATCGTCCTGCACACACACACACACACACACACACACACACACACACAGACAC